TTCCCCCCGGCGCCTGCTTGTGTCGGCAGGGGGTTGGTGATGGGGTCCCTGGTCCAAGGAGGAGTTGGGGTGACCGTTGGCCACGTCGTCAGCTTGTCCACAACCCCGGCGGTTGTGGTGGGGTCTCTCGTGGGCACCGGGACGTCATCACTTTGATGCCCTGGCTCCTCTTCTTTGAGGACAAGAGCTGGGACCAAGGGTCATTAATTCACGTTAATGCCTCCCCGAACCAGAACTGCCCCCAAGGGTCAGGAAGGGACCTGCGGAGCTGGGGGCTGCACTGGCCCCACCGTGGTCCCGCACCAGAGCTCAGCCTGCCCCGCAGCACCGTGGCTTAGGGAAAGGCAAGGTAGGCACGAGAAACGGCTAACCCCCGTCGCTCTGGCCTCGGGTGACGTGGGGCAGAGGTGTGGGGCTGGGGGGACGTCGCCTGAGCAGGCGGGTGCTGCCGTCCCACATCCTGCCAGGGCGGATAGCATGGCTCCGCTAACGAAGAAGGTGCTAATGGCGGCAGCGCTGCGGTAGATGCCGGGGAGACCAAGCCGAGGGCTTTGTTGGAAGTCGTGCATGGCCACACGCTGCCGGGTGGCGTCACGCTGACGCGGCCCCCCACGGAGCTGCCAGAGGTTGGGCAACTGGCAGCGGCGCCAGCACGGACAGGCGCTCTGCGGTGGCAAAACGGGGTCCCCAAGCAAACCGGCCCGCAGCCGCTACGCTCCCTGCCGTGAAAGGGGCTGGGCGGTCAGCGAGGGTCCCTGCTGCTTGGCCAGCAAAGGGCTGGGCAGGAGCCGGGGAGCCCAGGGCGTGGGTTTGCGGCACAGCTCGGTGCTGGGGGAGCCCAGGAAACCCCAATCCTCCCACCGCACATGAGCCAGGCCCAAGACAAGCAATAAAGCAGGCGGCCTGAGCCTTGCCCCGCACAAAAGAGCTGGGCAAGCATCCTGCCCTGCCGCAAAGGGTCCCCTGGGAAGGCGTCGTGGCATTGCACCCACTGCCTTCACATCACCCCTTCCTCCTCCTCCTCCTCCTCCCTCCAGCCCCACAGATAGAGGGAGCCCCCAGACCCAACGCCGGCCCCCCCCCCAGCCCCACTCACCGGCTCCAGAGCAGAGCACTGCGATGCAGAGCCAGCCCATCCTGGCGCCTCTCGGCTCCATATTCCTCTGCCCCACCGAGCCTTCCACCACGGCTCTCCCTTTTGCAATGTCTTCCTTCCCCTTTCTGCCCGACCAACGGCTTCCTGTGAGCTCAAAGGTGTTGGCACTGAAATAGGGTGATTAACAGCCGGGGGGGGTCGTTTCTGGGGCTGTGCCCAGGGTAAGGGATGGAGCCCCGTCAGTCGTCAGCACGGGCGAAGGAGGGGGTGATGCTCCAGCAGTGCCCCGGCTCCCTTCAAGGCCAGTCCCTGGTGTCATCACCGTTGTTTTAAGCCCTGTCCAGGCTGGGGATTGGAGTTACAAGGACAGATTTGGTGCCACACGGATGAATCCCTTGGTAAAACGCATGACCCACTGAGGCATATATTTTTAATTGATCAGCATGGATTTGAGGAACTCAAAAACAAGCCTGTCACATACTGTGAAAATGCAGAGAATAAACAAATTACTCCACGGGCTCGTCAATAATGGACTGTTTTCACCCAAAATACTGTGCAGACAGAAATTGAGCTCAGATGCGTCTTGCATTTTTATTCCAGTAGCTCCTAGAGGGCTCTCCTGTGCCAGGCACTTCAAAGAAATCTCCGGTTTCATCCCTGAATAATTTACTATCCGCACAGACAAGACAAAGAGCAGGGGGAAGCGGCACGCACAAGAAGAGGCTTCCTAGCACGGACGGCGTCTGTCTGTCCGGCGGCACTGGAAAATTGATGCCAATGTGCACGTTTCACTCAGTTGCCAGCTCTGGGCGGGTTTGGGGAGCAGGGAGGGTGGGGATGTGCCCTGTGGCCTGCTCGCCGGGTACCCAGGTCCCTGTAAGTCCCAGCTCAGGGTGAACCCACGCAGACCCTGCTGCAGGACGCGCATCCCGGGGGGATGCAGCCACTACCCGCCCCTGCAGCATCCCTGCATCGCTCGGGGCTCGGAGGGCTGCTCTCCTCCCTGAAGCTCTGCTGGGAAGCTGCCCAACTCCGGAAACACAGCACTTCACATACAAATATTTCATCCAATTATAAAACCTCGCATACAAACACATCAAAGGAGTGGAGCAGAACGGCACCAGCCACGTTCCTTGTCCTGTTTTCCCCCAAGCCCGGACCACCTCCTGCCCCTGGACCCCGGCATGGCCCTGCAGCGTCTCAGGGGACCGCAAGCAGCTTGCTGCTGGCATAAAGCGATGCCGAACACAATGCCGGGGTGCCGTGAGGTTTGGAAGGTCCCCGGCAGGCCCGGGAGCAGCAAGCGCTGGGGAAGTAGCTGGCACCGAAACTGCAGCAGCCTGGGTGTGTGCGCCTGGGCAAAGGCATGTGTGTTTTCTTGTTCAGCTTTCTACCACCAAGTGTTATTTTTGCTTTCTCTTGGTTTAGCAACCAAACGAAGCAGTCAAAGTATTTGCCAAGTTTAAAAGTATAGCAAAAAGAAAAAAATTTAAAAGGGCTTTAAAAAGGGTCCTCAAGTTTTCCCATCCTCTCGTCCTGAGGCTCCGCAGCCTGAGGTGCTGCAGGGCGAATCCCAGGAGCATCAGTTCGTGTCCTTACACCAGGAGGGCTGGGTTTGCAGCCACAGTTTTGGTCCATGTTCCTTGGTCTGGTCAGAGAGGGCAGAAAAAGGAGCCCAAACCCCACGTGGATGCCAAAACAGGGGCAGAGCTCCTGCGCCAGATGAGCCTGCACTTACGGGGCGCTTTACATCCTCACGTCGATGGCCAGGGACCGCTGCCGACAGGTGGATCTCAGGTAGCAGCGATGGGGAGGGAAGGGGGAACGCTGCAGCCCCACGGGCCGGGCAGAGAGGAGCACCGCACTCAGAGCGGGCTCATGGGTACACCGGAGTAGACGTTTTTCTCATCCTGCTCCCAGCAGGCATGCCGTTGCCCATTTTCTCATCATCCGTCTGCAATTGGAAAGGGACAAAAGCTTTGCTTGGGCTCGTGGGAGCCGATCCCTCCGTTGGCGAGAAAGAGGGGACCCACGGGCTTGGCTTGAAGCTCTGGACCCCAAGAAAGCCCAGTGAAGACCCATCTGTCTGTGCCCCTTGCTCCAGGAGTTACGTCTCTCACCCTGGGGTCTTGCCCATCTCCTTGCTCGGCGCTGCAGCCCCTCCAGGGGAGATGGCCATGAGCGCCAACTCACCTGGGCCATAGCCTGGATGGTGAAATAGATGGTTTTGGAGGTCTCCACACCGGGGGTCAGCGTCTTCTGCGGGTCGTCTCGCTGCGCATTAGAGAAATTCTGCAGGTGCACCTGGGGACAAGATTTTAAAAAGTGTTTCCAGGGCCCTGAGCTGGCAAAGGGACCCAAAGCCTGGGTGAGCCAAAGAAGCCAAGTTCGGTGGGGCCGGGGACAGAAACCCTGGTGATGCACCAGGAAGTGCAGGCAGGTGGCCGTGCTGGCTGCTCTTGGGCAAGCCCCGGCACTGGCATGTCCCCCTTCAACTTCCCAGCAGGATCTAACAGACAAACCCCCGGGGTTGTCCAGCTGCTGTCCTTCCTCCCCGTCCCCGCCACGTGGCCCCCAGGCCATCTCCATCCCGTGCAGGGACCCCCCCACCTGCGCAGCCCGGTCCAGCCACGGGGGACGGGGATGAGCCTGCACAAACTCACCTGCTGGGAAGGGCCGACTTGGGCATACACCGTCGCGTACTCTGCTCCGGCCTCTGCAAGGAGAAAAAAAAAGTGGAGGGTCAGCGAGGGAGCAGGCTGCCGCAGCTGGGAAGGGGCTGCAGTGGATCCCCTTGCATGACCCGCAGTGCCACCGGGATGCTCCTCGCCGAGGGCTGGAGGGAATCCCAGCTTAAATGTCTGCCGGGCCCGGGCGAAAGCCCAGCCGTGCAGGAGCTGCAGCACCCGGCAGCCCCTCAGATCTGCTGGAGGTGTTTGCTGTGGGTCTGGATCGAGGTGAGCATCGCTTCTCATCCCACCGTCCCTCCTGCCCCAGCCGCTGCAGGAGCGGGGCCTTGCTTCCAGCTCAAAGGACAGCAATCAAAGGGACTTGCTAGTGAAAATCAGATTTTTTTTTTTTTTTTTTTTAATTTAAATACAAGATCCCCGGCTGCTTTTGGAGGGCGATATGCATTTGTCTCTCCTTCATACGTTGCCACCATTGCAGCAAGCATTAGCGTCAGCTTGTTCTTTGGCTCATCGAACAGAGCGGGGAAGAGAGGATTTAAATCCTTCATAATCCCATTTTGGGGTCAAAATTTCAGTGCCTCTCATTTGAAGTGCTGCTGCCAGCCCCACAGAGGAACAGCCACGCAGGCTTCAGCCCATGCAGAGAGGAGTGCTTCGAGGAGAGGTTTTGCCCATGGTTCCCAATGGAAGAGCTGGATCCAAATTATCGGCCGGGAGGAGCCCGTGGTCCTGGTGCTGGGTCCTGACATCCCGCTCGGGCACACACAAACGCGAAACACAAGGCAGGAACTCCGCCATTCGTGTCAGCTTTATTTCAGCTTACGGAAACAACAAAACACGCACGTAAAAAAAAAGTCAGCAAGATCTCTGCTGGGCATTGGCTCAGTTGTAGCAGTGATGGGCACGGCACGGCCCATCACAAAATGGCCCTGAACATCAGGGAGAAGAGATGGGAACTGGCCCAGTGGTCTCTTCTTCCACCAGTTTCCTCGGCTGGACTCACACCCTGAACCCCTGAGTCTAGCGGAGCTGATCCCGAAGCGATGCCAAGGGCGTGCTTCAGTCCCTGCGGCCGCTGTCATGCTGCTCCACCTCTCCCAGGAGCCTCTGATCTCTGTCCCCAAGAGCTAGAGAAATCAGGCAGCAGCTGCTCGAACTGTGCGCGGTGCTGCAGGGGGGTCGTTTCTGGCCATGGGGCACACGACCCCTTGTTGCTTGTCTCTGCCCCTCCCCCCCCCCCCCCCCCCCCCAGTGTCTCTTGCCAGCTCTTATCTTTTCCCCAAAATCCCTCTTGCTTTGGTGATCTCACGGCTGCGCTCCCGGCTCCTTCTTGGTGTGCTGACGCGAAGTTTTCCAGCAAGAGACTGGGGAAGAGCACAGCTTCAGCCACCGCGACATCGCCTGGCGTCGTCCCCTTTTACTTGCCTCCATGTGTGCAGGGTGGGGGCGCGGGGAGACGTCTGGGTCCCGTGAGCCGGGGTACGCTCTGGTACCAAGCCACGGCAGTGGATGATTTCCCTCGTGATCTTAAATGCGACCAGACTATTCCCACCAGGAAAAACAAGGAGGGAGGGACATGCCTAGGGGAGCCCCAAAGTCCTACCTGTGTTCGTAGCCTCGGCTGCGGGCAAACAGAAGATCCTCCAGCCTGGGGAAGAAGCGACACGGGGCTCTCGTCAGCAGTGGCAACCAAAGCAAACCCCGCGCAGCATCCTCAGCTCCGGCTGCCGCAGCCCCCCGGGTGCCCAGGTGCCAGGGCTGGCCGTGTCCTCCCCTCTGACGTCCCATCTCCTGCTTGCCAGGTCTGCAGGGACGGTTACCCGCAGGGGAAGCAGCTCACCTTTGGATTTACAGTAGATCACAAAGATAACCACTGCTAAAAGCACTCCGACTCCAGTCACCAACGCAGCCACAATTCCAGCCTGCCTGCTGGAGTAGGTGCCTTGAAAGAGAAGAAGGTCCGGTAACAACATCCCAAAATGTATCATCTGCCTCTTCCTAGGATCAGAGCAGGGGGAAACAGGCAGGCATCTGCTTCAACACCCCGCTGAGCTCTTCCCTACTTTGCAGGGACCCTTATTTCACGATAACACGGTCCAACACGGAAAGGAGGCGACATACTGCACGAGGACGAGTGGCTTTGCGGACAGAGCAGCAGCTGGAAGACTCCCACCCCAGCCCCACCACAGCTGCCCCCACTGATGTCCCTTTGCACTCCGGGGACCTCACGGGTGGTTTCTGCGGGGAGGGCAGAGGGGGGAAACCCACATGGGCTGGGGGCAGCAGGTCTACACAGAGCCACGCTCCCACCTCCAGCCCATCCTTGGCTCTGCCTCTCCATTGCACGAATTAATTTGATGCTCCCATCCCAAGCTGGAACTTTTTGGGGGGACAAGCTAGAAATGTGGACCCACCTCCCCTCCCCAAATTCCCCGAGTGATGAAGACAGCGCACGGATGCTAAGAGCACTGCCCAGAAAACTTGGATATCCCCCGCGAGCTGTTTTGGGAGATGGACTGTGCTGGCCTGAGGCTCCCCATCTCCCCACGTGTGGGGGTCCGGGGTGGCCGGACGTTGTTAGGTAGCTCAGGCACACTCAGACACTTAAGAGCGAGGCCGGACACGGACAGGCGGTTCGGCAGCTCACCGGTGGTGGGAGGGTGGGTTGTGTTTTCTGACGGCACGGGCAGTGCGGCGAGGGGAGAGAACAGGGAGAGAAGTAAGTGCCTCTGCCGGGGGTCCGCATTTCTTTCTTTGCCCGCCGAGGCACAGCTTGGGAGAAAAGCTGGAGCCACTGGGAGCAGGATACGGCCCATCCCCGCCACCCACCCATGCATCTTTCCATGGCTGTTACCTGCACAAAGGGCAGCGGGCGAGACGACAGTGGTGTTGCGGCTGCTGACAGGGTTTCGCACCGTGCACGTGAGCAGCGGCAGCAACTTGTCCAGGGGCGACTCCTCCACCAGCACTGTGGGCCCCTCGCTCCGTGGCCCGTCCCCCACGCTCCAGCTGTAGGAGACGTTGCCGTAGCCAGAGCCTGACGCAGTGCAGCGCAGGGTGTAGCGGCAGCCGTCGGCCGAGCAGTTCTGCGCCGCGCAGGTCACCGTTGGCACCTCCAGCTCCCCTGTGGGAAGCGGGGGGCTGTCAGGAAATCCCCAACCCCCCATTTAGCACAAAGCATAAAAAGCCCACAAAAAACGCCAACACTAAAAGGCACTTACTGTAAACGTGTAGGATGAAGGTGGTTTTTACCCCTGAGGTCTTTGCGGTGTAGGTACCGGCATCGTCCATCCTCAGCTGGGAGATGGTGAGCGCATTGCCATTCTTGGGGAAGGCCAAGCGCGGCTTGTAGTTGTCGTCAAAAAACGTGACTTCAGGAGGATTGCCGAATTTGACGGTCACTATGACATCGTTGTGAAAGCTCCAGGCTGCGGCTTCTTCATCCAGGTTCTGGAGGAGGAAGGTGACGGACCTGCCCACGGCGCTGGTCAACTCTGCCCCATCACCGGCGCACGCTGGGGAGAGAAGCCGAGCTGAAGGCAGCGTGCCCGGGGAGAAGATGCACAGCGAACTTGGGGCCTGGCTGGCGGAGAAGGCAGGAGGGCCCAGGGAAGGGTCCTTGGCCGAAAGAAGAGCCTGGGCCGAAAAGAAGAGCCTTGTCCCACTGCGATCACACAGCGTGATGCCACGGACAGGCTGATCTCTGGCCAGAGCCCCCAGTGCTATGGCGCACAGTACCTCTCTTCAGTTGCAGGTAAAGGCATAGAATCATGGAATAGTTTGGGTGGGAAGGGACCTCTAAAGGTCACCTAGTCCAACCCCCCCTGCCGCGGGCAGGGACCTCTTCAACTAGACCAGGTCACTCAGAGCCCCGTCCAACCTGACCTGGAATGTTCCCAGGGATGGGGCATCCACCACCTCTCGGGGCAACCTGTGCCAGTGCTTCACCACCCTCAGCGTAAAAAATGTCTTCCTTAGATCTAGTCTGTGTCTACCCCCCGTTTAGTTTAAAGCCATCTGAGGTGTTCCAGCCCTCTGATCATCTTCGTGGCCCTCTTCTGGACCCCCTCCAACAGGTCCGTGTCTTTCCTGTACTGAGGACTCCAGAGCTGGACACAGTGCCCCGGGAGGGGTCTCACCAGAGCGGAGCAGAGGGGCAGAATCCCCTCCCTCGACCTGCTGGCCACGCTGCTGGTGATGCAGCCCAGGAGACAATTGGTTTTCTGGGCTGCGAACGCACATTGCCGGCTCACTCGAACCCTCTGGGGCATCCCTGGGGACAAGGAGGCATGCTGGATCACTGACGCTGGATGTGGAGAGCACTGAGGAACCGCTCTGTCGTGGGGTGATTGTAGGAATTAGGGGGATTCCTTTTTATTTTAAATAAACTAATTGCCTCTGAGGCTCTGGGCTGAGGTCCCCCAGCAGGACTTGTGCTTTTGCATCCCCCAAGGGCTAGTGAAGCAAGTGGCACCAGGTTCCCCTGCAGCTACGGGACATCCACGCTGCTTCCTACATGCAAAGACAGTGCAAGGGATAGAGCCTTGAGGTGCAAAATGAAAGTGCAAGAAAGAGTTTGCAAGGGCTCAGAAAGGTCAGGCAGGTTCCCTTTCATCACCAGACCGAAAGGCCAAGCTCACCTACCCAAACAGGCAAGAAAACTCGTGGCCTCTTCCCCAAATGTGCAGCTGCTTCTCCCCTCTTCTGAGAAGGAAGAAGGCATTTCCCTACTTCCCATTTCAAAAATAAGCGCTGCCCAGTCTGGGCTGGGGATGGATGTTTTCTCTCCAGTTCCTAGAAAGGGAACTGATCCTGGCTCAGCTGGGCGGCCAGATCCCGAGACTGTCACATCTCCCCAGGGTTCCGCATTTCTGGTCCCCCCTGCCTGACCCGGTGGGAACGCCTCTGGGACATTGAGAACAGTCATCTCCAACGGCGTGGAAGGAAAAGCTGGCTGGGGAGATAAACTTGAAGAAGGAAATTCTACTGAAATAGCAGATAAGGCAACTGGAGTGCTCATCCGGCAGTAAAACCCTCCTGGAGGCTGCGGGGAGGGGGCCCGGGCAAAGGCAGCATCTCTGCCCATTTCCCCTTGCCTGAAAAGAGGCAGAAAGTGTCTCCTGTTCCAAACAGCCCTAAACACCCCACAACAAAGCCACAGGAGCACAGAAAAACTCAGAGACAACACGCGGGGGAACAGACCCCGAACGTGGAGCAGAACAGCAGACTTGGCAGCTGGTGCACAGCTGGCAGCAGGTGGACGGAGACTGGGCAGGAGCTGAGACCTGATGCATTCACTCATTAGCAGAGGGGGACCACACAAGAGCGAGAGGCCAGCACCGGGTCGTGCTGGGCATCTTTCGCCCTGGTTTGCCCAAAAACCTTGGGACAAAACTCCATCCCCGCAGAGCTGCACCTGTACTGCTGGTCCCACACGTGCAGCCCTGTCCCTGCTCTCCCAGGAGTCCCTAAAACCACCCCGAACCCCTCATGGGCTCCTTTCCTTCCACCACCGAGGGAAAACGAGCACCTTGCACTTACTTGTGTGGTGGAGCAGGAGGGCGGCGAGCAGCAGGCACCAAAACACGTCCATCGACCCACGGCGCACAGAGAGGGGCTCTCTGCACCCAGCATCTACTACAGACTGCGGTGGCAAGAGGAAGACGCAAGTGCCTACGCCCACAGTTTTCCTCCCGCAGCTGGATGGGTGGAGATAACTCTGTGCTTCATCCAACGGCTGGTACCATCGCACTGACATTGGGCCTGGTACCAGAAAGGGTATGACAAGGAAGAAAATCCCACATGCATAATGAAAACTCGAGCTGAAAAACTCCATCTCCAAGGAAAGATGAGTGTGGCAGCTGGGAGAAAGAGCATCATCATGGCCATGTGTGACAAGTGTCCCAGCTCCTCTAGGGGAATCAGCCCTAAGAGAGGGGTATCGTGGAGACCATCGCGGGTCAGTGCCCGGGAGCACGCTCGTGCCCATGGACCGATGCCACCCGGGCATCCTTCATAGGGGATGCTGAGATCCAAACTCTCCATCCCCCCAAACTCCATCACCCTTAGACGGGACAGCTGAATGACAACTGCAGAGAAGCAACCGCTTCCTTAATTCAGATTATTTTGGGAAGTAGCATGACACCGGCATCATACTGAAATTCAGGTGGGGGAAGCGCGCCGGACCAGCTGAGGACGTTGGGCTTTAAAATAGCCCTGGTTCCTCTACCCCAGCGAGGGAGCAGGGGGTGCTGTCGCCCCCTCAGCGCTGCCCCAGTGCTGTGCTGCGGGAGGCTGGGCGGTGGGATGCATTAGCACAGGGACCAGCATCGTTGCTTAATACCAACACTACAAAAGTCACTGAACTTCTTAAAAACAGCTCCTCTTTTTCACAACACCCTGGCAGGGGGCGTGAGATGAGAGGCACAAAGAGACACCCTGGGGGATGAGCCACCCTATAACTCCCTTTGCCTCCTCTGAGCGTCACCTGGGGGGGGGGGGTCCTGCAGCATCTTGTCTCAATGCTCCTCTGCAATGGCAGCATTAGCATTTTTTACTTGAACTCTTCCCCATATTGAGCATCTGACGTCCCCTCGCAGCCGTGGGGCAGGCTGCGATGACTGGACGGCACATCACAGGGTCGGGCCACTGCCCCATCGTTCTGCAAGGACCAACACAGGTAGGACCGGGCTCCATCCTGCACAAGCGCCAGGCACAGAACGTGGGGCTTTCGCACCATCTTAGAGGCGCAAGGGCAAGCGTGACCTTGCCCTTGCCCTTCCCTGGACCTGCCCACGCTCCTGGGGAAGTGGTTGCTTTGCAGGCAGACTTTTCCAAGGAAGCAGCTCAGCTGATTTTCTGTAGTAACGAAAGAAGGAAGCTAGGGAGGTGCAAAAACACTGATTTCTCTCCCCCGCCCCCCCTCCACAAGACTGATCCAGCCCCTGACACACTCCTCCAGCAAACCTTTCCAAAAGGCTTTACTATAAATTTATTTTCCTTTCCCTTAGCAGCGGCACACGAGATCAGACCTGCTGTACGAGCTGAGTTATGTGGGGATTATAAAATAGCTCAGGCTGTGGGGGGGGTTGGAAAGGTTTTACAGCCCTGGTCCCTCCTCCAGGCCACCTCCAGCATCCCCACGCCGGGTATTTCTGCAGGGAAGTCGGGAGCTGCTGCAGGCAGTGGGTGGCCGGGCCACAGGCAGGGGCTGCCTCCCCCTCTCAGCCAGAAATCCAGCTTTAAATAGTCCACCTGGAAGATCCTCGCCTGTTCCCGTAGTCATCAGTGGAAAAGGATGGGGATGGAAAAGTGCGGTGGGACGCGGCTGCTTTCCCAGGTGCAGGCATGGGCTGCCGGTGCCCTCGGTGCAGGGGATCGGGCAGCGGGCAGGGCTCAGCCCCGAGGGGATTGCAAAAAACTTTCTTCACTGCTTGGGCCACGACTCGGGCATTTCGTAACCAGTTGCAGAGCAGAGGTGGAAAAGAAAAAAAAAATTGCTTCTGATTTTTTCCGCTGCCGTTGAACCCGCGTCCCTGCACGTCACCGGTGTTGCTGGCTGCCACGAGCCAGGGGCTCCCTCTAGCGAAACCGGGGCCACGGGATGAGGCCGTGGGGTGAAAACCCACGCGGCAGGGATGAGGTTGGGGTGCAAACCTGCTCCGGCCACGCTTCCCGGTGCTGCACCGTGGTGCTGATGGGCTGGCCCTTCCCCTCTGAGGTGCCGATTCTCTCTCCCTCGCTCATGCCCGGCTGCGGGGTCGTATCCAGAGCCCCTCTACCCTCTCCCGCTGCTTCAGCATCTTGCAGGCCACCCTTAGCCACAGCCTGGGGAGATTTCTTGCCTTGCTTCAGCCCTGCTCTTTGCTCCGCCGTCCCTCACCTCCGCAGCCATTGTTGCAGCTCCAGCTCAGCTGCGGCAGGGGTTGGCGTGTGCCGGAGGGTTTTGCCCCGATTCCCCAGGGACAAGCGGGATTTCCTCCAGCCGGGAACGTGGACGTCAGTGCCTGGCGAACAGAGGCGGAGGCCGGGCTGGGCTGCTGCCCGCTGCCTGGAGAGGCTCAGGCCGTGGGCATCATCACGCTGGCATAAACCGTCGTGGGCTCCTTGTCGGGGCTCTGCAGCAAAGAGCAGAGGAACAAAGGGGTCAGTGAGGTGCCTGAGCGG